TATATATATATATATATATATATATATATATATATATATATATATATATATATATATATATATATATATATATATATATATATATATATATATATATATATATATATATATATATATATATATATATATATATATATATATATATATATATATATTAATTAGAGGAATATTAGGAGATAAGTTATGGAATATGAAAATAGATGTGTTTTCGGTAATATTATGAAAACCTATCTCCGGAACATTTTAAACATTTTAAACATGTTACTCAGACACCATTTATATTTGAATTGTTCTAAAGATATATTTTCGGTAATATTACGAAGATATATCTCTGAAGTGTATCATAATATGTTATTTTTTACTATAAGTTGTGTATTTGTTTTCAAATAAAATATAACATGCGATTCTAAATAAATAAATAAAATAGACGTACAAAATAATAAGAGACTAATAATGGATAAAGTATAACAATATATGTAGAAAATATCATAAGTATAGATCCAAAATGTGATAAAACATTAAAAATAAAGTTGAAAGTATAATAATACAATAAAATAATAACATACTACTATTGGGTGTATCTAACAACATCTCATTCGCCTGCTCTGCCTCTTCGGCCATCAATCCCCCTCGTCCTCGGGCGATGTCTCCGATACAACAGTGTTTCATGTGCCTCTGCCATAATGGCATCCAGGACTCGCCTGACAGCAGACCCCTCAGGGAAGATACCATCATCGATGCCTGCATGTGCAATCTCCACTATGCAACGACGTTGAGGCAATACATCATCGATATGATCTAGCTGAGTCTGCTCTTTCTCTATTATCTCTTTATGAGCTAGTCTCGACGGATCTTCTGAAGCAGTTTCCACCATGTACAAATGTGACACCCTGAAGAACCACTCGATGTATCAGTCGGTATAGCTCCAATCGTTCGGTGTTATGATAGAGCATGCCTCCTCTAGAACCAGATGACTCTCATAATAAGCAAACATCTTCTTAGCTATCTACAAGTCAAGGCATGGGGAGCAGAGACAATAGGGTGTCTGGGGATGGTTTGAATGCACCTGAACTGCCGCATGACACACTCGGGTAGGTCAGGAGCAAAGATACGTGATCCTCAAACCAACCATCTGAAGTATAGAGATATCTCGTCAAATGGCTGCGTTTGACAATGATCTACGTAGTTGTTCAAGTGCACGTCTTTAGAAACTAAACAATCAAGGTAGGCTCTAGAAGGCTCGACCGCCTGGTTCCCTCTCAGCGGGATAAAAGCACAGACATATGGCATGTCTTCAGTGTACTCATCCACACTCGCTCAGCCAGTGATATGCGGGGAAGTGCTAAAGGAACCAAGCTTGAAATGAAAATAAAATAAAATCATTCAAGGATCAAGAAATATCGGCAAAGGTTCATAAATATAAAATGAAAATGACAAAAAAAATCAAAGATCAAGAATTATTACCATCAGTATTGTCACGCTCTCTGTGACCTGCTTCGTCTTCCATAGACATCTCTCCCTCAACTTCCAATAAAGATAGGTCAGGAAAGACGCCCCCAGTTGTACTCATGGATCCATTGTAGATCCAAGAAGTACTTAAGGTATGCAATGTCAGTATAAGTGACACTCATGCCTACAAAAATACAAGTGCCAACCAAAAAAGAAAGTATGCTCTCAAAGCACGTGTCATGTGTACCTCCGCCTGCTCAGCACCACCATGTATCTGTTGTGCCTCCTTGATCTCGACCACATAAAGCTTCCTCAAAAAATCAAATATAATATGAACACCCCTGATCTTATCAACCTCTTCCATCACATCCTCTAGATAAGCCCTCAGATACTCTACCATCATCTTGAGTCCCTCGTCTCTGGTCATCCTTCCATGATTGAGGAATCTCCCCCTGATCGAAAGATGTAACAAACACAAGACATCGTCCAGTGTGATCGACATCTTACCATGCGGCAAATGAAACAAAGCAGTCTAAGAATTCCATCTCCCCAAGAATGCATTAAGCATCTTGTGGTTGACTGGGTTGTACCCCGTCATGCATAGGTCCTTCAAGCCAGATAATAATAGAATACTCTGAAACCAATCACTCTCCTGCTAAGGCAATGCAACAATCTTCCTCCTATGATTAAGAAATTTATGGGGATTACGCACCTGAAAATTTTCAAAAATAAACAATATCAGTAATAATCAATATAAGAAATAATCAATGTCAGCCATTAAAATTAATGTAAAAAATAAATCAAAAGTCCAACTAATATTACCTCTCCGTCCCAGATATGTCTGGCAGTGTGGTCTGGATATAGATGAAGTAAGGACAAATCACATGTGCCTTCTATAAAACCCTCTGGCTCGACATCCGCAGCAACCTCACCCTTCGGAGGTGGCATTGGATCAGGAGGATCATCATTGGGAGGTGGCACTGGATCAACATGAGGTGGTAGTGGTGAATTCTGATGTCTATAGAATGATAGGAGAAGTGACGCGTCAGTTGGTGAATCCCGTCTCTTACGGGAAAAATAAGAAGGTGGAGTGGCATGAGGTGAAACATGATCCCTATAAGTATACTGCGCCCCAGAAGTCGGCGCATCCGCCTGACTAGAGGTACCTGTTGGTTGCGCTCCCATCGAATAGATGCGTGTTTGGTTACCCTGTCATGTCTCAGTCCGTCGACTCTGTTAGCCATCATGCATGTAAGGTAAAGTAAGGTATATCATTAATGCACACAAACAAAATAAACAAACAAGCAAATTTATTTAAAAAACAGACTGCAGGAAATTCTGGAGATGCATCTTCAGAAACACCATACAACAATAACATTGAACAATTCCGAAAATACATCTACGGAAACACCTCAAAACTATTAACTTTGAAGAGTTTCGGAGATGCATCTCTCAAAATTTCCAAAGTACATGAAATACTGAACTATTTTTGGAGATGTATCTCCGAAAAGTTCTGCAACTCAAAGGCTGCGACAATGGCATAATATGGCTCATGCAAGTTGAAAAAACATGATCTGATCGCCATTTTGAGCCAACAAACAAGTCATACACTAAGTCTAAATTATGTTACATGTGATTCCTACACATTTATAATCCTAATTTATCCGAAAACTCAAAAATTTACTTGAAATTTATGGTTTTGATGATGTTGAATGATGCTATTAATGATGTTTGGTATTCTTTTGAGTCTTGTTTGATGAAATTTGATGTTGTGAAAAGGTTGAAATTTTATGTTGAGAAGAGTTTGAGAAGTGTATGTTGAGAAGTTTGAGAAAGGAGAAGAGTATGACGTGACTTATGTTCTAAATTGTTTCGAAGATATATTTTTAGAATATTTCAACGTTCACTGAACTTTAAATATGCGTCCAAAGATGTATCTCTGAAATCAGTTGAAATATATAAAATTTCATATGAAATGGTAAAAATGCATAAGCCTCTATAAGAAATTCACAAATTTTAATATCAAAATTTTGTTTTTTTTTTATCAGAACAGAAAAAATTTACTAGTCATTTTCAATAGGTATGGACTGCGAGTAGCATTTATTTTACCTACATATTCTAAATATTAGACTAAAATTAATATTTATATTGCCTCAATTGAAAACAACAAACTCATTTCCTTTCCTTCACTAAATTACTTTTTATGATATTGCATTCAATTTTTTATGTTAAATATTATATATTAATATAATTAATATACATGACATCAAACTATTAAGTAGAAATAAATAGAAAATCAAACACAGTAATAAAACATTAATAATAATATTAATTGATAACAATAAATGCTGATCATACATACAATTTGCTGATGACTTAATTTAATTTTATAAAAGATTATTGATCAAACACTATCCCTCACCACTCATATAATAAATAAATAAAACATTTACACAATTTTCAAATTATTTTTTCATCAAATCAAATATTAATTATTTCATATTTTATTTTATATTACAAATTTCTCATATTCTATTAATTTGAATGGTTCTTAATATTTATCTATTATTTTAAATTTTGTATTAATTTAAAAACATTTTTGACTATTTTCTAAAGGAATCAAGTATTTTTTAACGTATATACAGAGTAGAGTAGTACTAGTAGTACAAGAGGTTAAGAAAAATATCACATCAAATATTTGTCAAAATTCAAATGGACAAGTTTAATGCTTTAACGTATTCCCCCTCTAACAACGCGACAATAACATTACAAATTCCATTTCTCACTCGTAGTACCCTATGAATGAGGAAAACTGGCCTTGAGATTCTTTAACACCATATAGTTAAACTCCTCAACTATTCAATCTTAACTAGCCCTTTTTTATTTTTTTTAATCTAAAATTTTTTACTTTACCCCTAATAAATTTAAAACTCAAATATACTTGTTTAATTAACTCAAATATCGGGTCTTTATTGTAGAAAAAAATTATTTTTAAAATTTAAAAGAGAAACTTTTCCTTATAATAAGGAAAGTTGAATTACTACTTTGTCTATAATTAAAGACTCGGAGACTTTCCAAGTTCATATGAATCTACAGTTTGGGACAATTTTTTTATGATTAAAGGTAAAACAAGTAGGACATGTCACATGTTTGGCACAATTGTTGTTTCTTTTTTCAAATGAAAAGCAAATTGTTTTGAACCGTAGAAAAAAAAAATCTTTTTGTCAATTCTCTCAAAACTTTAAGTAGTACTTCTACTAAGTAAACATTCATATTAAAAAAAATTAAATGTAAAATTTTTGCATTTAAAACATAAATTAATATTTTCCGACAATTAAAGAGGAATCTGTAAAAGGCTGAATTTCTAAAGTGATTCAAATTACAAAAGGTCTAAACCAAATTGAGATCTGAAAAATTCCAGATTCAACCGAAGAATAAACTTCTACAACAAAAAAAAAAGGACAGTGATGATAGACATAATAATAAATAAGAAGAATTATTGTTCAAGAAAGAGAGTGAAAAGAATCACATCAAATCATTCTCATTCTCTCTCACATAGTAATTAAACTCAATAATATCATAACAAATCCAAAGCAATATCCCAACCCAGGTACTGCTAAACTCGTTGCACCACCTGCAGCAGAAGGAGCAGGTGCGGTGCTATTCCCACCTCCAGTAGTGCTATTCGCACCTCCAATTGCTGTGGTCCCCACAGACAAACTCGCAAAAGCATTCAAATTATCCGGCGATGAACCATGCTTCATTGGCCTCCCATTGACAACGGGTCCCACTTGCCAAACCTGAGTAATATTACTATCCGTCTTTTCCGGTAAAATGACCGTTGCGAATATCGTTATAACGCCGTTAGCTTCTTCACCGGAAATCGCTGATGTTTCAACGGAGAGATTCTTGACGGGGGTAATAGATCCGTAGGAAGTGAGATTGAAAAGCTGGACTTCGACTTTACCTTGATTTGTGTAAGCGATGAGTGCTTGAGTTCCCACCATACGGCCGCCGGTGGGGTTAATTCCCCATGAAACCCAACCGTTTGCAGGCGGTGTGGCGGAGTAAGCGACGGAGAAGGCGCGGGTGGTTTCGTTGTAGGTGTGATGAAGAGTGGCGCCTAGAGCTGCGAGATCTGTGCAGTTTGCGAAGGTGTGGTTCGGTGAGAGCTTCTGAGTAGCGCAGGTGAGAGCTGAAGTGGGAAAGACGAGGGAAACGAAAATGGAAACTGTGAGTGCCAAAACGAAAGGTGAAAAAAGTGAAGAAGATGAAGCCATTGTTGAAGAGTGTAAAAAAAGATGAAAGAAGAAAGAGAATGTAGCAATGGTTTTCAACTTTGTGGTTAGAAGTAGCAATATATAGTAAAAAAGAACGTGTGGAGAGCAAAAGATTATTATTATTTTTCTCCTCTTTTTCTCTTTTCAAAATAATAAAATAGGGTCAAGTGGAATATTTTCATTTTTGGTATAAAATTTGTATTTTATGATATTTTTAAATGGTAGAGACCAAAGGAATTTTTTAATTTAGGTATAAAATATGAGTTTTATTTTAAAATAAAGATATAGATATTTTTTTTCTATGGAGATATTATTATAGATATTTATATATAGATGTGGATACATATTCTAATTTTATATATAATATTATTATTCTAAAAAATAATAGATATTAAAGAAAAATAAAGACGTGTGTAAGATTTATTAACACATTTTTTTATGTATATAGGATAAATTTATTATTAAAATAATATAAATTGAAATAAATATGTGTGTTAATGAGGTTTGAACTCAAAAAAAATATTTAAATAAATTATGTCATTCACGCGCGATTTTGGTAAATAGAAATTATTAAAATAAAAACTCTTCTAATTAAATAAATTTGGCCATGGAACTAAATTTTATTCCCAAAGAAAAGCAATATAAACTATTTTATATGAAATCATGCCTATAGTATATATATATGGATTTTTTTATAGAAAATTTTGCTAACTATAAAAATTGAATTTGGATCCTCTAATTTTTAATATATCATGTCATCTCTCATGTTTATAATCTAACGGTTCAGAATTTATAATAAATAATTAAATAAAAAAAAAGTCATTTAATAGGAGAGAGAAATTGATAAGTAATTTGTCTTTGTTATTTTTAAAATTTTTTTATTATAAATTCTGAACCGTTATATTAGAAACATGAGAGATGTCATGATATATATAAAAGGAGAGGATCCAAATCATAAAAATTATATGAAAAATATATTTCTAAAATAATTCATGCATAACAGGACTATATTCATAATTTCTAAGATTTGTTAATAAAATATTTAAGTAAAAAAATAATATTTCAATATAATATTCAAATTTCTAAACCCTATATTATTCACACAAGAATTCATGTATTATATATATTTTTATTATTATAATAATTAACAAATATGTAATTTTTATATAAAAAAACATTATTATCAACTGTATTTATACTTTGTTGACCAGCGGTTTTAGTAAGTTCTAAATACTATGAATGTAGTCGAGCTATGTATCAATTATTTTACTACAATGTATTGAAAATATTTAATTTTGTACTACTATGTTTTACTTATAACTCTCAGAAATTATATGGCAATGTTTAATTTGCATGAATTTATTTTAATCATATATCTCAAATTTTATATTTTCAGTTAACAAAAGTTTCACAGATTTGTATGAAAAGCCTCAATTATATATTTTTTAGAGTATTTTGAATTGACTTTTTCAGTTCAAATTATTTGTCTTAATGATGTAAGAAACTTTCATTTTAATTATTCTAATTTATTCAAAATTTTCAAAATTATGCAGAAATGATACATAAATCATTTAAATATTCTTTTTTTTTAATTGAGAGGGTTATAAGACCCAAGAAAAAAACAGACTACAAAAAGACTTCTTTTAAGGAAGGATTCCCTTATATATCCTCAACTAAGAGATTTTCCACAAAATTTAGAGCACAAGGAAATTTAATTAATTCTATGTCTAATCAACAATCAGCCTTAGTTAAGACATCCGCATACTGAAACTATGAATCACTGAGGCGAAACCAAACCTACTCAGAAGGCTATCTATCTTCCTAAGCATAACAGTTCCTCCGACTCTCCTGTTCTTCCTATGATTGATATTCATTACAAGCTCATTAAAATCAATGCTCACTTCCACTTTCTGATTTTCATATCTAATGCTAAAATCAAACAGTCATACACGCCTTCTAATTCCGCCAAGTAACTACTTCCAGCATCCAACTTTTTTGCAAATCCTCCCACCTAACCACCATACGAATCTTGAATTAACCCCCCACAACCAGAAGCAACACCTTCTATGAAGGCACTATCCACATTTAGTTTCACCATCCCTGACTTAGGAGGAACCTATTTGACAAACCACACCTCCTTATTTCGGTCATTTACCTTCTTATCAATTAGCATCACTTGATCATACTCCTTCATCTTCTTATCAATAATCACCGAGGTATTCCTAGGTCGCAAAAACTCCCGATTATGCTCTTCTTGGTTCCTCTAATACCAAAGTGAATGACAAGCAAAAGCCCAAAATGAGCTCCAAATTTTTGTATCTGCATTAGCATAATTAATATTCAAACTAACCCAATCATCCAATTCTAAATGCTTAAAATCATTTTTGATACTCAGCGAAACTCTACTATCCCACACTTCCCAAGCATACCGATAATCTCAAAACACATATAATGTAGTTACGGTAAGATGGCCACACAACCGATAAGAAGCTGCTCCAAGACCTTTCCTGCACTTACTATAATTTGTCAACAATATATCGTGCTTAAGTAACCAAATAAATGTCTTAATCTTCTCTAGAACTTTAAGTCTCCACAATTTCCTCCAGTCATTACCAACATACTCATTATTCGGTCTAGAAACCATATTATAAAACTGCTTCACCGTTTCCGTCACATTATTTTCACCAACTAGTTTGAAAGTATTAAGACCTTTATTCTCATTTGGAGGCTGAATTAATATAATTTTGTTCACCACATCCTGAGGCAACCAATTCTCCAACATCTGTCAATCTCACGATCTATCTTCAGAAGTTAAATCTCTAACCTTTACGTCTTTATTAATTTCAGAGTTATCTTGGACATAACTTCTCGACTACAACCCTTTCTCAATCCAACAATCTTCCCAAAAACTAACATTCTTGCCACCACCAATATTCCATTTCCCATGCTGAATTAGAACAAAAGCAGCCTTGGTTATATATTTCCAAAAACCTAATCCAACTTTCTTCTTCACGACAATTTTATTCAGCTCGCTGTCCTTGTAAAGACCACACAAAACTTGACACCATAATTCATCGGAATTATTAGCAATCTGCCATACTAGTTTCATTATACAAATTGAGCTGAGTAGCGTCAGCTTATGACCCATGTGGAGGCATCAAGGTGATAGAACATGGCTAAAGCTTAACAGGTTGGACTGGTGGTGACACAGTCTTGGTCTGCCCGCTCCAAGTTGCAAGTTGACCCATGGAAAACATTATTTTGATTTCTAGAAGAAAAAACTATCAAATCTTAGTCACTCAATTTGATCTAATACTTAATGGGTCGATTAAATGTACTTTTTTCTTTCTTTTAAACAAAAACATTTATAAAAAATCAATTCATTACCCTTTTTTTCCTAACAAATTAGTTCTTTTAGTCTATAAATACTCACCTCAATAATCTTTAAGGAAAATTATAATAACCTTATATAAGGTTTGGTTAAATGTCACACACCTCTCCTTAAACTTCAAATATATGGTAAGTCTCCCCTCTATTTAACTATGTCAACTAATCCTTTAATTTAGAGAAAATATCTTTAAAAAAATTCATCATGATGTAAATTATGGGTGTTAAACTGGGTCGTGGTCCGTCGGACCAGTCCGCTCATCTATTAAAAAATTGTGGGTTGGATTGATATTCTGAACTTGCTATCCGTTCAATCTGTTTTGCCAAAACAAAACAAAAACCTTATTAGTTAAAGACGTAACGGGATAGATTGGCTCGCCAAACCTGTTAAATTTTCTTTTTAACTATAACATGCTTTTGGAACTACTAACACAATAAATCATTAATTTCCCATGATTTGCTGGATATGGTACCAATAATATACTATAAAATACATTATAAACAATATTTATGTTTGAAAACGAATACGGGAAAATATTTGAAATTGATCTGCGTCTCCCAATAACACACTGAATGATACACACACATATAATATATACAGGCACACAATATATATTGAGAAAGTAAAAACGAGAAAATATTAGAGTGAATATGTTTGTCTCAATTAGACAGAGATAATAATAATATATATTCAGTTTTGATTACAACTAATATAATTTCTCTTATTTCTTTGAAGTACATATAATTATCTTATTTATAACAATTTTAACAATTTATTATCCAACTCGATGTTATTTATAATATTTTGAATCAGATGTCTTTAAATAAAATATAAACGGTTTCTTTTTGATCAAGAAACACATAAGGGTCAGGGTTAACAAAGAAAGCAAGATAAAACAACAAAGAACGACAATGATTGGTTATAAACAATTATTATTTCCTTTCTCGTAGAATAAGATTACAAGTATACAAGAATAATAAAATAATTTCTCTCCCTTGAAATTAGGATTTTATCTTCCTATTGATCCTTATGTCAAGATTGAGAAACTAGCATCATATTGAAATTAGGATTTTTATTAGCTTACTAAAATGCTAGCACAGTTCAATATCAAACCATTATTTGATTCCTTAAACTTAAAGTTTAGGAGAAATTTTTATTGAGATCAAACTATCATTTGACTCCCTCAACAAAAAGCTTAGGGGAAATTTGTATGTAGAAGGTCAAGCTTAATCCAATTATGTATTAAGTCATCCCAATTCAATGGTTGAAAATAATACCACACCATGAACACATCCTAGAGACACACTTAAATAATGCCACTAATTAAATCAATACCATATGATGAAGATCATATTTATCTTCATCAATAGAGACATGCATGTCACAACACAATCCAAATACTAGTCGTAACTCAATAACTTATAGTTAGTTCTAACTTATCTCATACTGAGAAATTGACAAAAGGATCGTCTAAATATTATATAAATTATGTCGTTGAAATAATACTCGTGGCACTGCCACAATAGCTTTTGTTGGATCCAATTAACAACGATGACTTAAAAATGTAACGAGTTTAAGAGAAATTAAGGCTATGTTTGGTAAAATTAGCTGA